TACAATCACGCAAAGAATCAGAACAATGGACGCAATGTTTAGCAGTTAATTAAACCATAGATAATGGTAATAAGGGCTTCAGATTTCACAGGTGAGGAAAAAGTTTTAATTTAAAGAAAACATTGAACAAGTGAGCAGTGGGTCAGTTATACTAGCCTAACTGTTGCTGGCCTGGTATTGACTTTGATAACATTAACATGTGCTGTGCAGTTCGGTGTGTTTTGGTTCTGTTAGCACTAAAACTGGTCAACCCGCACACCAAGTCATCAGTAGAGCAGCTGTTTAAATCAGCTAATCAACCACCGCGGTGATCAGGTGAAAACTTATTAATAATCACAATATGTGATTATGACAACATAATGTTGTCATTATGCCTGACAACATAATGTAACATACTACTTTTTTGTGTAGGAAATGTTTGCTTTTTGGTGTTGATTCCCCTGATCGGTCATCTCTGCTCTAACTGCTCGTTGAACTGTTTGTCGGTTGCCATGGCAACGGGTCCTGCGTAATACCGACATACAGAGCGAGAAAAGGCGGAATGGAAGTTGTTGGAGCTATTTTTTCTTTATTTCTTTATCCATTTGAATTTTGTTACTTCTTAAATTTCTATTTTTTGTATTATTTACAGAGTTTATTTGTAGGTTGATAACTGTTGATGTTTTATTATTTTTCTTATTTATTTTCTAAATTTAGACAGGAAGTAATCTGGGCCATCCACTTTCTATAAGTGTAGGGGCCTGGTGAAGGACCAGCAGGCATTTGGGTTTGGGGCTGATGGTTTTTACCAGAGCAAGAGTGGAACCATGACAACAAATGAAAGTTTGATCTCTGTAATTATTTGGTAAAAGAGGAAAATAATCAATAAGTTTGGAAACTGAACCTTCTTTTGCCTGTGTCCAGAAACTTGACCCCAGTGCCTCAGTAGTGGCTTGGTGGAACTTTTATTGGATGTTTTGGCTTGGCAAACAATCAGAAGTGGTTCTGTCTAGTTTGGTTCTTCACCTGTTTATCAGCTTTATTGTACGTTTATTGTGGCGCACTGCAGCCGCTGCAATTCCTAAAAACAAGTGACAAAAACTGAGCTAGTCCCCTGTATTCGCAAAACGTGGTTGTGAGCAAAATCTTATCAACACTGTTGATGGTGATCGAGGTCGAGCCACTATCAGTTCCCCTCCATGTTTCAGCTCTCAATGGAGAGGCCCTGCCTAAAATAACCCACAGAACATAACAGAACTTCACCAGTACGTCTATTAATTTCTGGCAGCCATTCAGAACAGGTCTCATTTTTGTTTTCCCAGCAGCTAGTTCCGCCATAGTCCTGGGTTTCGGCTGGCTACAAGCTCACAACCCTCACATAAACTGGAGTGAGTCCCACATCAAGTCCTGGTCCAGTAAGTGTCACACTTAATGTCTCCACTCTGCCGTCCCACTCAGTCCGGCAACGGCAGAACTGCAAGAGGCAGACCCTCCCGATCTCTCTTCTGTCCCCATAGAGTATCACAACTTGGCTAACATTTTCAGTAAAGAAAAGGCTCTCTCTCTGCCACCCCACCATCCTGCTC